GCTGCGCTTCGGATTCCCACGATCCCCAGTCGACCTGATTAGTATAACGTCCAAAATATTAACTCCAATAACACTTCGACGCCTAACAAAAGTTCGTGAAGAGCAGACTAGGGAAGACCAAGCTGGTTTTCGACCGGGACGTGGTTGTATAGATCAGATATTCACTCTACGTCAGGTCCTAGAACATAGACACACATTCAGACATTCCACAATATTAGTATTTCTTGACCTTAAGGCGGCATTTGACTCTGTTGATCGTGAGGATCTGTGGCAGCGTTTGTCACTGAAAGGAGTAGCAAAAAAGTACATTAACCCTATAAAGGCTCTCTACTCGAACACAACTGGTCGAGATAGAGCCTATGGCGAACTGTCATCAGAATTGATTATCTCAAGTTGTGCTTGTCAGGGCTGTACACTCTCTCCACTTTTGTTTAACTTTGTCGTTGACATGCTTTTATAGATAATAGTTTCATCATCTAAATTTCCAGGAGTTGAACGTGTTGACCGCTTCACTTATCTTGGGAGTCTCATCAGCTATTATGGTATGGTGTGTGCTGAAATCCCTAACCACCGACTGCCCCGACGTACGATGTTTTATGGTGTAGGAGAAGTTGGAAGAAAGCTAGGGGGGGCAGGACAAAAACATGGCACGAATCCATGATGTCACTGACAAGTGAACTGAGCCATGTTCGTAGTAGTCTACCTGGTTGGGATCCGCGAGATGATAGTAACTGATGGTTACAGGCTTTGAGTGACATGGCTCAAAATCGTTTGCAATGACGAAAGATCATTTACTCTGTGTTCGCGAAAATTCTAGTCTTCATTATAAAACACTTTCTTTTATTGGGCAGACTCATTTTTACCATCGTTTTTTGAACTCTCGATGGTTATGCAATGACTCTTTGTAGCCTTCGTAATCATTTATGGGTACAGGTAGAGTGTTTGATTAGGCCAACCTCCACCACCCGTGTTACCGCTCTCGTTAGTACATGGGATAAGTGCCATGATCCAGGGGGCACGAAGAGGACATGTTAGTCGGATTTTGCCTCCCCATCCACTCTTTGTGTTCTCCTAAATTCTAATTCTCTGAATTCTTCATGTCCCCATCTGTTTTCTCTTCCCAAATTTTACTCCTTGAATAACATCTTCAAACCCTAATCTTTCCGATCACTGTTTATACTCTTACTACCTATACCACTACGGGATTTGAATCGACAACTGGATCTCTGTGTTAATGTGGTATGGCAACCTGAACTAATGTACGCACGTACGAAGTCCTACGTTGTGACTGACTGATTAGTGCCAGTAAACCATAACAGCCACGAAATACGTCTTAATAAAACCTAGTGCCAATGAGTTGAAGAATCGCCGAAATACCTGTAACAGCATTAGTATCTGAGAGCAGATAGACGCTCGTATAAACAGCGTAATCAATTATCTAGGCAGTAATCAGGAAATGTGAGTACGTAGTAAAACACAATAGTAAAAAATATGCTCTGGTGTTTATTTATTTAAACACATAAATATTGGTACAAGGAAACACCAGATACATATGCGCCTCACAAATCTCATTCGATTTGTGTGAGGGCTGTGATATTGCCCAGACTGAAGCAGGTGGTTTTCTTAGGGGGCCACACCCGGAACCTTTGACCTGAATATCTGATCCACAAGGCAGTGGAGCATCGTGAGGAGATGCATTCCCATGGTAGCCGGTGATCAAATGTTGATTCGTACGCCATTTATTCCCTCAGGATACTGGAGCCCATGTGCACCACTGGTTTGGAATCAGTGTTTTCCAACTCCCTTAGGTTGACCCTTCATGTCTACCAACCCGGTTAAAGCGTCAAACATTCGCTTTTCGTTCTCTCACTTTCGTACACAACACCCCCGCCACGAGAAGGCAGTGGGTAGGACTTTCCTGGCAGAGGGTATATATTAGCTGGTCATATGAGAGTATTTCGAGAGGGAGAGGTGACTCTCCCCACTCTCGGCCGTACCAGGGCATTTGGAATGAAACCCTTGTCTGAAAAACAACCGTTTTGCTACATCCAATGGATTTTAACAAAGCACAACCTTGTCGACTGATTTATAGAGTAGTAAGTAGATTTATAGGAGTGAATCCTCGATTATTCGATTATGATTACACTGGTAGTCGGGTGAATGTCCTGAGCACTCACGTAACGTCGGAATCGTATTTACAATCGCATTGCGATGAAGAGCTAATCCGCGTGGTGTAACTAACCAAGCGCGCTATTTAAAAAGGATAGTGGTATTTTTCCTCGTTGAGTAAATTCTATTGTTTTGATCGTTATTAACGTATCAAGACTACTGTTTTTATACTTTGATTGAATTTCTTTCAGTTAAAGTATTCTATTAGAGTATCATCTTTGGTATCCTAAATAGTTTTATCGTCGGTACTCCAGAGTACCTTTTTTTTCCATTGTGTCTGTTAGTACTTTGGTGCGATGAGTGCAAAGGTTGGTACCACGATGTTTGCACGAATCTAACACCTGCAGCTTTCAAGCGGTTTAGTAAAAATGGATGTGTATGGCTATGTCAACAGTGCTGTTTGGATGCAAATAGCCTGCTAACCGAGGCCATTTCAATAGTAAATGCCGCAAAAAAGTGTCTCGGCAAGCGCGGTCGGGATACATCAGTCAGAACTCAATCTGTCGACACGCAGATTGACACAAGGCAGGCCCAAGTGAGTCCAAAAACTGCCGACCCACACCCTACTAAGGAGGAAGAACATCCTCCAAAGAGGACTGTTACAACCAGAAACTCGCGCAAAAAAGTCTTTTCTGTCCCTCGTATCAAAAATGGTACCCAGAAGGGAACTTCAGGAAGCCGAAACCGCAAGGCTCGATCGGTTTCCAGCGCGAAAGATGACCCGATCTCCCAAGTCGTCCTGACTCTTCCGGAATCCCACAGTACGCCTGACGCGAATGTGGTTACCACTCCAAAGAACGTTGGCGATTGGGTACGGGTCGTAAAAAAAAACGCCAAAATGACGTAAAAGGAAATCATACCCCCACCAAAAGGGTCGACAACCCGAGGTCTGATCACAGCGACAGATCAGTCATTCTCCATAGAGTCAAGGAGAGTGACAACTTAGAACCGAAAGCTCGTTTTGAGCATGACATTGTGTTGATAAAACAACTACTCAACCAAGTTATGCCCAAAAACATCCCCGGAGTCACCTTGCTAAAGGTGTATAGATTAGGAAATCTAGCGCATCTGAAACCAAATCAGTCTAGACTACTCAAAGTCGTTTTCAAATCCTCAAACGAACGCGACTTAATCTTAGAAAATGGACACAAATTAAAGGGTTCAGGAGTTTTTCTCCGTGTTAAAAGACGGGAAGCCGAAAAGGAACTACAGCTCAGATTAGACGCTGGCGAAAAAGACCTGAAAATTGTAAATTTTCGGGTTGTGAGGCTTCGACAGAGGATGATGCCGAAGCCACTCTGGGTGAAGCACGAGGCCACCTAAATAGGCTTCGGATCTGTTATACCAACGCCCGGAGCTTACTAAATAAGCTACCGGAACTAGGTGTACAGATTGACTCAACTAGGCCAGACATAATCGCAGTCACAGAAACATGGCTGACGCCGTCTATAGATAGTAGGGAACTTGATTTCGAGGGTTTTACATTGGTAAGGGCCGATAGAATACAAGCGCGTAAAGGAGGGGGAGTAGCTCTATTCATTAGGAATGCTATTCCATTCACCATTATCGACAGTGTATCCCATGAGAGTGGGACGTATGAATTAGTTTGCTGCCGCCTGAAATGCAGGGGACAAGAGTTACTACTTAGTTTGATCTATCGCAGTCCAAGCTGTGAGGCAAACGAGGTCCTGCTAAGCAGTCTCAACACTTTATCACGAAGTGATCGATGTCTAATCTTAGGGGACTTCAATGCACCCATGGTGGACTGGGGAAATCTTCGGACTGAATCGTCAGCAAACTCCTTCGAACAGGAACTAGTTGATGCGATAATCACTTGTGCTCTAGTGCAACACGTGAAGGAAGCAACTAGGTACGACCCGGGTTCTGCATCATCCTTACTAGATCTTATATTGACTCATTATGAGGATGATGTTGCAAACCTGGATTACATGCCACCCCTAGGCAAAAGTGATCATGCAGTTTTAAGCTTTGACTTCCATATAACTGTCGATCACGAGTACGCTTCAGCTCAATCCAGACCTAACGTCTGGAAAGCAAACATAGCAGACATCATGAAATCAGCATCATTAGTAGATTGGAAATTAGATCCAGAGTCATCAATCGAAACGGCTTGGGACGTATTCTGGAATTTATACTTAAAAGTTACCGCCCCCCACATCCCTTGGACTACACCTAATAGACCGAGAAACTCCCCACCGTGGTTCAGTAGGGAGGTTCGCATCCTTCTCCGTAAAAGAAGGAAAATGTGGGACAGATTTAGGTTACTGGGGACTGACAAGGCGAAATCTCAGTATCAAAAGGCTCGAAATACCTGTGCCTCGACCCTCCGTAAGGCCAGAAAGCTGTACGAAGAGAAAATCGTAAGGGAATCCATAGAATGCCCTAAACGCTTGTATTCGTATATAAACCTAAGGACAAAAAGAAGAAGAAATGTTCCTTCATTATGGGGAGACAGTACTGCCACATCACTAGTGGAGGATGACTTTGGCAAAGCTCAAGTATTCTCTAAATACTTTAGCGATGTATACACCATAGAAACACCCTTCTCACCAGTCCATGAAAATCCACCCACACAAGCACTGGACAGCGTAACCATTGAAGAACTCGATGTTTTTGGTCTGCTAGTTAAGCTTGACATAGGTAAATCCACTGGACCCGATGAACTGCATCCTAGGTTACTAGAGGAATTAGCTTGACTTGATCACGTAAACATTCACTGAGAAAAGTAATAATCCAGAAAAAATAGCACGTTGTATTTGTAAATTACAAGATGAAGTTCATGAATCACAAAATTCTGAAGACGAGGCGACTCACTAGTTACATGGTTACAAAAGAAGATCAACTTACATATTTTTCCTGAGTTAATCCATCCTTGAAGAAAACGAAGTATGGTGTCATACCGTCCTCACGGAAATTCATCAAAACTATCATGGCGTCAGGATTAGATGATGGACCCATGTAAAACTCATATTGGTCAAAGTTATCAAGGACATTCTTCATGTACTTGTTGACCTGAGATTTAAGTAAGGGAACTCTGTCTGGATCAGTCTTTTGCAAACGCTCTATTATAGTTTTTAAATACAACTAGAACAATATCAGTTTAACTGAATAACTTACATTAAGATGCGCTTTGTATGATTTTTGGTCGAAAGGAACACTAATGAAACCATTAGCGTGAACTAAATCAATGACCCTTTTGCTTGTATCATCCACATTTTCATCTTCTCCACCCTCACCAGATGGGTTGGCGCCAATAAGTCTCCCATCTACATTACTTGAAACTGTCGTAAACCTCGAGTCGACTTCATAAAAGAAATCCGCGACAACACGAGGACAGTGCGAGTCTGTGAACATTTCATCCTCTGAAGAGAATGTTATGGATCTTTGGTCTTACCAGTGATCATATCCTTATACACGATCATGGTGAGAAACAAACCAGGCGCACTGAGTTGTAACGCTGATAATGTGAAACAAGTTTATTGTTCGACGTTACAATTTATTCAATTTTCGTTGGTGCGGAATTTTTTGTTTTGTCCACCAGACATAAGAACTGAAGTATACATTTCTTTGACGTACGGTGCAAATAAATGTTTCCAAATATCGAAAAGTTTGAGTCATGGTTTTGATTCACGTGCAGTGGTAAATAAATCCCCCAAGTCAATAGCTCTGCATGTCTTTGACATTTTATGCTGATCGTATTAGTTTTACTGGAATTGCCTAGTTGAAGGCTCTCAGTCATGCATTCACATCAAATCATTAGTGGGTACGTCGTGCTACGTATCCCTTTAAACCACTAACCAGCCTAAACCAAACGTTCATTCGACATATCGATTGCCTACCAAATATATCTTTGAACTCTTTCAATCCTGACTTCTGATCTGATCGAGTTGGCCTACTTTAATTATAAAGGTGCTACTGGTTTAGGCGTGGCAATATTCAGGAATCGATAAAATGCCCTGAACGCCTGTGTTCGTATACAAACCAAAGGATTAAAAGACGACTTCGATTGAGTTTTGTCGTCTGAGATGGATGGTTTGGTCTTGGGGCTTTTATTGTTCTTCTGGCAGTTGCCGATAAATACTTCCAGCTGTATTGTAATACATATTGGTCATCAAGGTACATATATGGAGAATAAATCATAAAGTGCCGAAAAACCCAGACTTACTAATACTTCGGCTTTTTAAACCCTCCATATAATTGATTCTCTTGGAAATAACCAAATTCTTTATAGTTAATGGCGGCGCGCGGGCTTCGAATGTTCCAACATTTTCCTCACTGGTTTTTCACTTAAAGTTAATATCTATTAGCGAAAAATACCATATTTTGATAGAGGTTTCATTGATTAGATAATTGATTTCGGTGCTCAACTTTATCCACTTAGGTTTCACGTAGTTATCTCCTTTTCGTTCATATATTACCTCTTGAAAAATGTTGGACTCAACCATACAGTGTAACATTGATCATCCATTGATTTAAGTTTTAACACTAACCGTCCATACAATACGAACGTTATTAATATTTGCATCTCTTCAAATGATGTCCAGGACATCTAAAAATATTCAATCTCCCCTGGATTCTATAGTACTTTCGAGAAATATAAGTCCGCTACTGAAACGAATAATGTGAAGCTATATTAACGTGCTGATCTGTCCGCATCGTACGCTGACCTTTCGGCAGCTACACTAGACACGCACCGTGTACTTTGAGATGACATCTCACCACCTTGCATCTCGCTCCCAAAGTTCTCGGAGAAGCGAATCATCAAAGAATTCTGTCTCTAGACCACAAAAGGCAGATAATCCCTATTGGTGTTGACATCACAAGAAGTATAGTAAGCCTTCTCGAAATTGCAGGAAGCCTGTGAGTTTCCGAAGCTCTGAGTCCTTTGACACGAAGGACGTTTCGAGGAACTGTTGAGCAGGAACGCGTTAACGGCTGTGGTAGGTGGGGAATTCGACCGTCTGTTATACAGTACTGATGGGGTGACAAATGCTCGCTATCTCATCCACACTAAAGCGGAAGCTAGTATTCTTCCTGCTAATGCTAACGACCGACTCCACGAAGCAGTTTTCGACTCACATATGTCGAATCGGAAACCGATCGCCACATATGGTAAGCGACACGTTTATCTTAACGTGGGTTAACGCAAACCTATCCACTGGATATTCGTTGTCGCAAATGTTTCTATGGCAATCATTGGTATAGACCTGCTACGACATTACAATCTACCGATCGATAAGTATAAACCGAGGTTAGTAGATGAAAATGCTAATTTTTTCCTTACCGTAACTTCATCTTCTTGTTGTAGATTATCCTCAATCACTGTTAGGTACCTAATCAGGCCATACTACCAACGGATACGCGGCAAGTACTCTGACCTGTTACGAACGTAACTAAAATTTCCGTGTACAACCAATGATGCTGCACATCATACAAAAACTAGAGGACCACCTGTATTCTCGAAAGCGTATCGAATAGATTACAAAAAGCGAAAGTTGGCCAATAACGAATTCGACTATATCATAGGTTCGGAATTGTTCATTCATTGAACAATCCATAGACATATCCCTTACACAAAGTCCACAAAAAGAACAACAATGATTGTCGTCCAACTGATGATTATCAGTGACTGAATACGAAAACCACTCTCGTTAGTTACCTCTGGCCACAAATTCACGACCTGACAAATACTTTAAAGGGTATAAGTTTGGTATAAGTTGGAATTACTAACCATCTGTTGCAGTGGATTAAGTCTTTTCCCGCGAACAGATACCAAATAACTAAAGCTAAAACTGCAACATCTATATCTCGAACAATATCCAATGCTGTGCAGAGTAGTTTCTTGAGTCCATTATCCGCTACAATCTACATCAAAAATATGTGCTTCGACACAAGTAAGACCCACCACTACGCTGACTATGAAACTAGCATTTGCGAATTGCGTAGTGCTACGCAAACAATCCAGCATCAACTTAACTTAGATAACTGTTGTAAGCGATGGAGCTTAGAACTCAGCACATAGAAATGTGGCTGGCTATGCATTGATTCACCTACAGATTATCCTTCCCCATACCATGCCTTAGATCTTGAACGCCTCTAAAAAGGAGGCTTGGCGCAACACTAAGCAGAAGCTTGAGGAAACTTCTTTCTCATTAGGCATTCACATATAAGCGGCAGCTATCACGCATAAAAATGTATGACGGATGAACTTCATGAGATATATGCATATATCAAGTAAGAACGAATCATTAGTTCACACGAACACTACACCCTTACATTAACTGGTTGTGTAACACGTGTTATCAGCAGTCACAAAAATGTGTCCTGAAATCACAACACGCAATGTTAATTGAGAACTAACACCAATTTAGAACAAGGAGTGGGAGTCATGAGCCTTTTATTTTCGAAAATTAGAATTGGCGGGGCATGCACAGAAAGAAAAGCTGCTTTACAAAACAGTATTACGAATCATATTGTAAATTCAGCGTATGCAGAGCTTACTGTTTTTCTGCCAAATAGTTCATCCTTGGTCGCCCTGCAATAGAAAGAGAACAGAATCTGTTAACAACATCATACATGGAGATTTCAAATCTGCTACAGTTGCTTACCATGCACACACACTTATACGTCCCGCTGATACATCATATATGCATAGTACTTTGATATGTTGAAGGGGTAATCCACGTTAGATATTGACCGCGAGGTGTGATGTTGAAGTTAGCTGGTTCATCAAACCGTTCCCGTCTAACTCGAGTAGGCCTGCAATCATTCGACAGAGATCATCTAAGTTAATATTTTACAAATTCCAAGCTTTTGACTTAAGCCTCTTAAAAGTATATGCTCTATAATGTATACCTAATATCATACCGATTGGTTTCTAATTACGACGCCTAATTGTGCTAATTGAAATGAGTGAGCAGTTCTACTCACTAAAATGATCTGCTTCCTTGCATGCTTTAAACGCCGTAATTACACAGACTAAACTTAACTATACGATAACGAAGACTACGTAACTAAGCAGGCGTCATAATTATTGCTTCATTTGCACAGACATGTTTTTCAAAATAGTCCAATGTGCCTAATCAGGCTTGTAAACCCAGAACACCAACTATAGGCTAGTAAGAATTGCCTAACAGAGGATAAACGATATTGTTTTAAGCCTAAGACAGCAGTAATTTCCGCATAAAAACATAGTTTACAGAATAACAAACGTTTCGTTGTCGATCTACTTATGAAAACAACGGTTTGATTAAACTTACTGTGACTTAGGATATTATTCTAGCATGCAATTTATGCCCGACATAACGTAGTCAAATATGGCAGCTAAAAATCCCAGACGGGACAAAATTTGCAGCATAATCTAGTTTCTTAATAAAGAATATATCACAGTATGACAAAAAATAAATGAATGCATGAACGTAAACGTGACCATTAGTCCAGTTTGCGATAAATTAAGTTGAGGTGACAATGTTGAGCATAAAACCACTCGATATGACTTCATCCCGCGTCGTCAATTATACCTTTCGAATTTATCTGTGATCACTATCAAGAAGCACGAAATAGTACGTTGTTGTTGATGTCTTTGACTAACTGGACTTTAATGCCGTCGATTGTCTACCAGTAATTGCTTGTCGCAAAGCGACCTCCACAAAGTACCAACTCTCATATTGGACATTAGAGTCTCCCTAATATCATTATTCTGATGTATAAAAACACATCCTGTTAATGTAACCAATGTGTTCTATAAAATATCAGCCTAATTCAGTAAATGGTTGTACTAAAATCTGTGGCATTTTTAACGATTTGATCCGACGGTCATGCTGATTTCTTTGATCGGTAAACTGCAAGTTATATACCAACCTCGATGATCCCGCCTTCCCAGGTCTGACTGAAGTTTGATGAGTCTCAGAATATCAAAACATTGAAAACCACTTTGTTTGTACTTCATCGATAATTCTGTATCTAAGATTTTGCACCCGGTATTCCTTCAGAAATCGTTGATATTAGTGTTAAATTTCGGTCAACACAACTCCATAACACATGGTAACAGTCATCTTGTCTTACTTACTTACTTACTTTCGCCTGTTACTCCCAATGGAGCATAGGCCACCGACCAGCATTCTCCAACCCACTCTGTCCTGGGTCTTCTTTTCTAGTTCTTTCCAGTTCTTGTTCATTCTTCTCATGTCTGTCTCTATTTCTCGGCGTAATGTGTTCTTTGGTCTTCCTCTTCTCCTTCGACCTTCAGGATTCCATGTGAGGGCTTGTCAGTCATCTTGTCATTATGGTGCAAATGATCAAAATGAAAGAAACTGCTTCAAATATCACATCTGTAAACGTCAAATACACTGTCGTAAAGCATTATGTTACACATCCCGAACAAGACTCGAAGTTATGCATTACTCCGTACTTTCAATGAAGA